CTCGTGCGCCCCCCCCCCCCAACCCCCCCCCCCCCCCCCCCGCCAAAATTTTTCTATCCGTCCCCGCCAATCAGCGAAGTCGTACCGTACGCGCAGTACGCTGCGCCCCCGGCGTATGCTAGTGCCGCGCCAACCGTTTGCGAGCCGATTCCACCTTCATCTGCGGCCGCGACGCGGGCTGTGCTGTTGAGCTCGGTGCCGAGTGACGTGAGCGAGGGGACGGTGAGAAGGGAGGTGGAGGGGTTCGGGGAGGTGAGGTGGGTGCAGATGGAGAGGGTGTGCGAAGGGATCGTGACCGTCCATTTCTACGATCTGCGGCATGCAGAGCGGGCCTTGAGGGAGTTTCGGGAGCAGAACATGCAACAGCAGCAGGCCAGGCTTCGCAACAACTACGCCTCCTATCCTTTCATCCCCAACACTCCGCCTCCGCTGCCGCCCAATAATTTGTCTAGCCAGCTTCTTCCGGTTACTCCAGGTCGTGGGCTCATCGCTGGTCAACCCGTGTGGGCCCAATTCGTGATTCCGGCCTTGAAAGCCGTCCCGGACGGCCATAACCAAGGCACCATCGTGATTTTCAATTTGGACTCGGCGGTCACCACCTCCACTCTCAAAGACACCTTCCAAGCTTTTGGTAATATTAACAGCCGCTAGTCTCTTTCATCTTCTGTTTGTTTTGCTTTCGGAATTTTTTTTTTGGGTGTGTTTATATTCATGTGGGGAAGCTTGCTTTTAATTCTCATGGGTCTCTTTCTCCCACTTTCTATGCCCAATAGGGCACATGGTGCCCTAGATTCTTCTCTTTTTGTTTCAATTTTTCATAATTGGCTGTGTGTTTACATATTCCTCAGGGCCTGTAAAGGAATTGAGAGAGACGCCTTCGAAAAAGCACCAAAGGTTCATCGAGTTCTTCGACGTGAGAGATGCTGCGAAAGCTCTCAAGGAAATGAACGGAAAAGAAATCAACGGCAAACCAGTTGTCATCGAATTCAGTCGACCCGGAGGCCACAGCAGGAAGTACTTGAATGCGGTGGGCAACACCACCCCAACGCTGGTCTCGCCTACCAATATAATTGCACCCCTTCATTCTAACAACGCTCTAGTTAGTTACCCGCCTTCTCCATCGCGGGAACTGGTCGGAAAATTCTCAAGACGGCCCAACAGTTTGAACTTGGCGCCGCCGCCGCCCCCGCCCCGTTTGTACGCTAGCCTCTCGCCACAAATCCAATTTCCATCGAGTAGGAACAAATCAACGAATATTTGTAGCAGCAAGGGAAATGTGGGGGCTAATGGGAGCTTGAGGAGGTCGAATTCGTCGAGCGTTGAAGCTCAAATGGGAGGTTTGAATTTGGGTGGTGCAGTTGAAGAGAGCCATTTGGTACCGGGGCAGACGAAAAGGTCTTGCTCGTCTTCAAAGAAGAGCTGCCAAAACAGCCAGAACCAGGTTGTTACGAGTCCACCGCGGCCGCAGCAAGCGAAGAGCAGTAGGGGAAGGAAAGGAAGGCAAGGGAAGAAGATGGATTCTAAATTTCTAATAAAAGAAGAAGCGATGGCGGAATCCAGCAGCGCAGATACGAGGACCACCGTCATGATCAAGAACATTCCCAATAAGTACAGGTAACATTGAACATGCTGGACAGTAATTTTGTGTTGTTCTGAGTGGTTTGAATAATGAAATTGTAATTTTGTGTGGGTGGGGGGGTGTGGCAGTCAGAAGCTACTATTGAATATGCTGGACAACCACTGTATTCACTGCAACGAGCAGATTGTTGCCAACGGCGACGGTGATGATGGTGATGATGATGAGCAGCAGCAGCAGAAGCAGCCTTTCTCCTCCTACGATTTCGTATATCTTCCCATTGATTTCAAGTATGATTTCTTTTCAAATTTTTAATTAAGTTTGATTTGATTTTAGAATTCTGTTACAAATTATATGTGGGTGTTTGTTTGTTCGGGGAAATGAACAGTAACAAGTGCAATGTGGGATATGGGTTTGTGAACATGACGTCGCCGGAGGCAACGTGGAGGCTGTACAAGGCCTTCCATCTTCAGCATTGGGAGGTCTTCAATTCCAGAAAGATCTGCGAAGTCACCTACGCTAGAGTTCAGGTACTTTTTTAATTTGGGTCATTTTCATTAAATGAATTAAATGCAATGCATTTGTATTTTTGGAGTAAAGAAAGAGAGAGAGAGAGAGAGAGAGAGAGAGAGTAATTAAATGAAATGGAAATGGAAATGGAAATTAAATGAAGTGGAATTATTTATTATAATTGAAGGGATTGGAAGCGTTGAAAGAGCATTTCAAGAACTCGAAGTTCCCGTGCGAGATGGAGCATTACCTGCCAGTGGTGTTTTCACCGCCTCGGGACGGGCGGCAACTCACCCACCCACTTCCCATTGTTGGCGCCCAAACCCTTAATAACAATATTAATATTAATATCTCCTCCTCTTCCTCCTCCCCCGTTTCTCTCTTGCTCCCGCCTGTGCCGCCTCATCTTCACGATCAACACGACCATGATATGGATGCGCCCGTGTCTACCTGCGACTCTGACGAGGACGAGGACGAGGACGAGGACGAAGGCAGCAGTCGAAGCGGCGGGGGGTTCCTGCCTGACGACGACGACCG